TATCATTGACTGATAGAAATGTAAAAAAAATAGCATTTTATTTAAGATGGAAATAGAATCAAGACCCTCAATCACGTCATGATCTATTCTGTCGTGTAGTGCTCAAAATTGTGGACAACATAAGCCAGTTAGACTGTAAAATAACCTAACCTCTGAATCGTTTTTTGAACTGGTTCATTAAAACGATCTATCCGAAAGAACCTTTTAGTGGAAACAAATCAGACTTCTAATCACTGTTGGCGAGCAAAGGGCGAATTAATGGGTGCTTCTCAAACAGAAGGCTGCATCCTCAAACTCAGACGACTCGGACTCATTTTCTTTCAGTTTTCAGTTTAGTGAATTTAAATGTGTGCAAAGTATTGTGGGCGAAAGATACATCAGATGTGTCCTTCAAAATAGAGCCCTGCGCGGGACTGTTTTCTTAAACCCGCACCCGCCCGCTCCCGCTGAATGTATGACCAGGACCGCCCGCTCCCGCAAACCTATGTGTTCCACTCCCGCCCGCGCCCGCCATGTTTGTGTCCACTCCCGCCCGCTCCCGCGGACTTTATCTCAGAGCTTGTGAAAATTATACACAAATACTTAAGTTAACATCCAGAATAACAGACTTTAAACATGATTGCGTTTAAATAAGATGAAGTAACCAATGCTAAACCAAAGCACCACACATGACAAAAACATTGGGTATTTTTTTATTAGCTTATAAAACATTAACCGTCCAAACAAAACAGCAACTAGCGGCACCTCAGTTTTTAAACGCAGGCTAGGCCTACTGCATACACACGCACCAAACAATTAACTAGGAAATAACTTTAACATTAAATAAATAAACACAGAGAACTTTGAAAATAGGCTAGATATAATTTTAACAAATTAAATACAAAACGAAAAAATAAAATAAATAGAATGCTTAAATATCTCACAGATTTCACATTCACAATAGCTTGCTTAACCGGCTATTGCAAAAAAGAAAATAAATAATACTAAAAAAAGAGCTTGCTTTGACCACAGAGAATTGTGCAGGTATGTCGCCTCAGGGCAGAGGTGCCAGATTTATGTCCGTTGTAAACGAACACTTTTGCACATTTATCGCAACGTACAAAGTTTAACTCTGTCCCATTTTTTTCAGTGACAATTGAGAATTGTTTCCAGATATCTGACTTGCCTTGCTTTGCTTTTGTCAAGTAAACAGCCGCTTTAATTCTCTTCTCAACTTCTTGTTTTGACTCTATTTCTACTACACGCCAAATCCCACCGTTCCCCGCGGGTCTCCCGCGAAATTTTCTGACCGCCCACTCCCGCCCGCAGCAAAGGTAAAACCGCCCGCTCCCGCGAGATTTGCGTTGGGTCCCGCGGGTCCCGCGGGAGCCCAAACCCAATGCAGCCCTCTACTTCAAAACAAGCCTAAAGGAGGGTGTGAAACGAAGGCTGCTCAAGGATCCTTTAAATTGAAATGGCCTTCAGCAACGTTTGATGACGTAGCAGCCGAGATATGCAGCTTTCGTAGGATGCAACATTCCATTTGAGAGGCACCCTTAGATAAGCTTTGTTGAACTGAAAAAGGCTCTGAATGAGGAGTCGATTCCCCTTGATGGGATCGATTCCAACCTTTGGAATCGACTCTCGATTCCCAATGCCTCGGAATCGAGGAATCTATTCCTTGGATCAGCCCGAACCAAGGGATAAGATCACACTAAGCATGGGGTAGAACAACACACAATTCCCAACCAACAGCGATGCCGCTAGGAAAGTCCGCAGCTGATAGGCGGCGCTAAACCAATTAACCAAATTAACCTGCGCCAGCAAGGCTAAACGTGCTGGTGGGGAAACAGCTTGTGGATGACAACACTGGGAGGCCATAACAGGCACAGACAGTGGCTCTGCGCTGCTCTGAGGCAGGTTGAGTAACGCCGTATAGATATGATGATGAACAGAGCGGGATGCAGAAGAGGGGCGTGATCTCAACAGCAGATGAAACGTTTGCCGGGGCATCAGGAGACTCATCGCCTTCGTGCACTTATGCACCTCAGAGAAGCGCTCAAAAACAGACTCCTTAAGGTCGAAGTCCTTCAGGTCAGCTAGGGTCAGCCATAGGAGCCTGTGAAGGGCTACCATGAACTCCATGGAATGACTGATGGCTTGAGCGGAGCGCTTTATCGCCATTAGCGCTGTGTCATCGTGCACAGGTCTTTCACTGCGTCCACGTTCATGTTGCTGCTGTCCAGGGACTGCAGGAGCTTAGCTTGAAAAACCTGCAGCACTGCCATCATGGGCAGCACGAATGCCGCTTCGCCAGCGGAAGTGTAAGCCTTGTCAGCAAGGTGGGTGGTCAATCTGCAAGGCTTAGAAGGCAGGCTGAGTTCTGTGCCAAGCGTGGCTGAGGAAGGCAACAGATGCGCGGTGACCATCTCCTCGATGAGGGGTATGCGCATGTAACCGTGTGCCTCCGCCTCATCCACGTGGGAAAACATGGCCTGTGTGGAAGTGTGGACACACGCCGACTGGGTTGCAGATCACGACTTCATCACCTGGACATCCAGGAAGAATGGAATCTTCCTCTTCGAGGCAGCGTGGCAGCGGCTCGACTGGAAGTACCAGGAGTCAAGCTTACTCCTGGTAGGTTCCTCCGGAGTATCCCAGTTGAGGTTGAGCTCCTTAACGGCTTTCGTGAAGACCCAGGTGAGCTCCTCCTGGAGGTCTGGGGGGCCCTCAGTGTCTCGGCTGTCGTTAGCAAAAAGGACTGTGGAAAGGGGCGACGGCAGAGGATGACCACCCGGACCGAGTTGTCACCATCGCCCGAAGGGAGGGCAGTGCATGCAGTCGGACTCAGAGAATGCAGCCTCAGCATTGGCCAGGCCCAGGCAGGCGATGCAGTGCTTGTGTGTGTCCAGCGGGTCAATGGGGCCTGCACAAAGTCGACAGAAGGTGCGGTGAAGAAGTTGTCGTATCTTCTGGTGAATCTTCGACGATGGCAGAGTGAAGAAGATGATTCTGAGGCAATTTTTGCTCTTACCGCATTATATACAGTATTTGCATGTGATTTGCATATTTAGTGACAATTGGCCAGTTTATTGTATTGGCATTATCCTATAAGGTTTCAGGATTTTCGGAGAGTGAACGCAATGTAGAGCTTTGCAATGTAGAGTGAACGCTCAAAAGGGAACTTGCCGTTTGAAAATGGAACAAAGACTCATATATGCTACAGTTTTATAGATGATCAATGCTAACACATATGCACACACACAAGCAGTGACCTTCTAATGGCACCTTAGATGAGTAGATGTGTATTCAGGCCACATACACATTGTCAGACCAGCTGCTGTGCCACAGCTGCTCTTGATAGCACGTCTTCATCTTCCTCCTATGGGCCTCTGTATATTACTGTCACTTTATTCAACAGTCCAGGACAAATTAAGATAAGGGACTTATGATGTACAATAGAGGGAGCAGATGCTGTGAATTATTGTTTTCTGACATCATCGGGTAAATTTTTCCGTTATTAGTGTATAATTAGTTGTAATAGCCAATCAGAAGCAGGTTTTGAGCCGCTGTCAATTATTCTGTGCATTCAGAGGGCAGTCCATATATGGGAAACCGAAAAATGAGAACGCAAAATTCTAACCAGTCTATCAACAATGGCTTACATAGCCAAAAGTCCTAAAAAGAATAGAAATGCAGAAGATTACAAATAGGCCAAAAAGTGACGGGACCAAAAAAGAAGCAAGACGAAAAGCAGCTTCAAAGTGCTTCTGAAAACAGACCCCGAGGTAAACAGGTAAAACTACCATGGTTACGCCAAAGCTATGGGAGCAGGCCCGTAACCAGCTATGAGGCCACCGAATTTTTCATGTTAAAAAAAAAAAAAGTGTTCTTTGAATGACTAATTTGCTGTTAAACTCCTCATATGAATGCCTGCATGACATGTATAATTCAGTTTAGACAGTTTGCAAGAATGTTTAGCGTCCCTGTTATGAAAATGATC